ATAATAAGTTAGTGACACTGATCCTGCAGCAGTTCAGGATTCAGCTGTCACTAAAGGTTTTCTGATTGTTGCAACAACGATCAGCAAACAAACATTCTTCTTTCAGGAATAGATACATTATAGGAATAGACACATTATGTATCTATTCATGAAAGAAAAAAAAAAAAGCCAGTATAGCTTGAGAGAGATATCTCTCGATCTATACGAGCTGTCAGAATGCCGGCAACAGCCGGCATGTGTGTCCCTCTGCTTTGACTCTCAGACACCCGATATTAAGGTATCGGGTGTCTGAAAAAGGTTAACCCTTTCATTAATGAATGCCTCTGTAGTAAGGGCATTCATTAATGAATGTTAAAAGCTGATTCTCAGCGGTTAACAGCCCTCTAAAGCAGCAAATAACTCGTCACGTACAGTGTACGTGACAAGTCATTTGGTCCCTTTGTGGCTGGACGTACAGTGTACGTCTCCCGTCACGAAGGGGTTAAAAAAGACATATAACAGTGATAAGGCCTTGTGGTTCGTTAGCATGAAATTGTGGTCTTTTCAACTAAATATGTTGACGTAAACACATTCATAAATTTCCCCAACTGTATTAACACACTACCAATTATTTTTCCAGCATGCATTAGAGCTACAGTGGCTTTTCTTTGTTTTGCAGCATGCTAGTACAACAAATGCTTAAAAAATGTAATGTGCCCACATAAACCACCCTTACCCTGTTATTTTGGCATCACCAGGGTTCAGGAAATGGCTAAACCTCAAAATGTATATAAATGCAAACATTAGCACATTATCAATGCAGTGCAGTGCAGTGCCCATACATGTATCAAGGTACCTTGCATCAACAACATACACATTTATTTACAAGCACTGACATACAAAAAAAAGATTTTAAAACCTAAGATTTAAAAATGTCCAGTGTTTATTTTGTCTTAAAAACATTGCCATTTATTTTGAAAATAAAGAGACATGAGAACATTTTCCTACCTTAAGCGTTCCTCTTCTTTCTTTCTGAGGCTGAAGTCTCGCTGGACAACCTGAAGGACATGTTCAGCTTCATCCTCGGTCAGACCAGAAAGATCCAGTTTCCTTCCCATGTCTTTCTTGATTCTAAAAGCAATTAAAAGAAGCTGTAAATCACATAGATTTCTCCATCACCTCCCCACCTGGAAAAGGACTAATCGTCTCTGCTAATTATAGACGTTATAAATATTTCACAGGAGGTATATGCACAAAAAAAACCATGAGCATCTGTAAAAACAAAATACTTACCGATACCCTTCATTTGTAAGAATCTAATTTACTAGATAAGGTGGATGTATTTTACTGTATATAATAAAAAATAAAATCCTACTAACACTGCATAACCATGTGTAAAGCAATGTGTGATAGTAGCGTAGTCACACCTTATCTGCTACCACCAGCCAAAGGATCATAACATATTAGTCATTAATCAAAGTGGAAAAAAGTGGAATGGGATGTTGTGTTTACGCTAACATCTGATTGTCATTCATAAACAGTTACGGACAGAATGCCATGGCAACAAGGAAATGAATTGTAATATTTCTGTATGACACAATTTGTATTTCAAAAGAATGCACAGGTAAGCGGGAAAAAAAAACATCAATGAATGCTATTTAGTTTGTTATGTTCCTGCCATTCCCTACAGAGCCAGATCCATCGGACAGCTGGTGTTTGCAGGTTTTTGAAATTCTCCTCCACATTTTACTAATAAAAAAAGAAATCACCTATGGTAATGTAACACACACAAAGGGAATGGATAGAATCATGTATACTTTTCTTTCTTTCTTTCAAACTTCATTATACTAAGGAATAAATCAACTTTAAAGATATAAAACATTGCATATGAATATTGTGTGGACTTTCATCTAGCTTGCTGCTACTGTTTTGGGCTCCATTACATGTTCTTTAGTCTTACTGTTACCTGCTGCTAAAATCCTGTTTTTTACAGACCTCAATAGCTCAATGGAAAATGTACACTCACAAGTGAATGACTCATAGCAGCAATTCATGATCCCACAATTCCAAGCAAACTGCGTCTGCAATGCTGTATCTGTAACTAACCCGTAGTGCTCTGGGAATCCTTTTTATTGTATTGTATACATACAGTATAGTAAAATACACATATAAAAGTTTAAAGCATTACAATTTCAAAGAATATTGGCCCAAGAATTATTGCTCTAACCCTGGCGCACACTGCAATACTAACATTTTTAGTGCAATCGACATTTTCATAGGTAGATGCACCCAACGCATGTATACGTTACTTTGCACGTGGGGGACTTTAGAATTTTTTTGTATTTTAAAATTATTTGATTTTACTTTATTTTTCACTTAATTGTTATCATGGGGGCGCTTACAATCCCCCTATGTGATAGCATGTTGGGTGGTGACAGGTACTAGGGTCAGGTACTAGGTACTTTCAGACCCTTAGTGTCCCATTTCCACTGAGAAGAAAAAATAAGTTCAAGCACAGATCATGCTTTTTCCCTGGCTTCTCTAGCCGGGGTATGACAGCTGTGGAACCGGAAGTGATGCAATCAGCTCTCGCATTCAGCTCCATTCAGCCAGGAGGAGATTGTCTTTCCCAGTGTCTCTAACCTCTACCCGCCAACACCCATGATGCTGGTCCTGGACCTGCAGGAGTGGCAGCAGAGCTCAGGAAGCAAGGCGGTGAGTGTCGAGCAGGGGCATGCTTCACCAGCCCCTGGAAGCAATGTGATTGCAACTTAGCCGCCAGAATTGCTTTCAATGCAAAGCCAACCATTACACAGATTTACACAGCTGAACAGAGCCTCGGCTTCTATAGCGTCCAGAAGTCTATTTAGAGGGGCCTGTTGCCAGCGATGTCCGAGATGTGGCAGGTTAAAACAAGCCCTCCCTGACCTGTGTAGCTGCAGGCAAAGTGGAACAATTCATAATCAAATTACACCACAAAAACACTGATTTTTTTTTCTAAATGAGAAAGGAAAAATTAGAAAACAAATGCTATTTTTGCTTTGCTTGTATCTATAACCAAAACTTTGTTTTAGCTTTGGATGGTGTGGGGAAAAGTAAGAACTCCCCTTTTGTTCCTGGTGACCACTGTCAGAATCTTAGGAGAAATCCAAAATGTTACCGTTGCCACAGGAGGTGAGGGTAATGGAGACACCTGGTTACAACTGTCTAAGGGTGAATTTGCCATTTTCAGGACATAGACAGTAGTAAAAAACCTTACAGTGGTTTTATCCAATCCTCACTTTTTTTCAAAACTGACTTTAGATACACATTAGAATAAGATATATATTACAGAAACAAGAGTGGGTGAAATGCAGTGGTTGCAAGCATAATGGTTCAAAATGTCCTATTTCCCATTTGTTTCCCTTTTGTGGGACGTCCAACTCCAACTAGTAAATCGACCTAGCTTGGCCAGGTTCTCATTCCATAGATGTTATATAGAAATGATGAAAAAGACATGTCTCTCATTTCTTTCTCCTGAACATTTCCTATAGAAACTATATATTCCTCTGTATCAGCTCTTTTAGTAAACTATCCAGCAGCAAGCTAATGTATTTCTGTTTATTTACCCTAGTATTGGAGATGTAGGGGTTGATTTATTAACCTTATAAACACACTACGAACATGTATACACCTCTGTAGTGTGTTCCCTCCCAGCATGATCTATTGGTGGAATCTAAACACCTTTGTAGTGTGTACACACCCAGCAGGTGTGTTGTGCAAAGCCAAGCATGAATTGCAAGGTGATGTTGTGTAAATTAGCTCTATGTTGTGTTGCTTGCGTTGATGAATGCAGGAATGTAAATGCATGAGCTAATCATTTTTGTCTAAACACAAAAGCAGCATTATATATGCATCATGTGCATGATTTTTCCATATATGGCATTAGTGGAAATATGCTTTTAGAGACTTTTTGGTTGATAAATACGTTTTGCTGTGTGAAAATCACACGCACCTGGTGCGTGCGTGTGTTTAGGTTAGTAAATCACCCCCGTAATGTGTGATATAAACTTCTGGCATCGTTCACGGGTTCCATATTCATTCAATATGTCTACTACCAATATGCTTGCCAGACATAGGAGCAACTCAGTGTCACTAAGAGGCTGTTTTTTGATACATATAAGATGAACTGGATACAGTTTTTAGGTGCTCAAATATTTTTAAACTTGTCTTCTTTTTTTTGGGTAGCGGAGTAGCTTCTGTGCTGGCAATGCTTGCTGAGCTGAAAAAATTGCTGCCAAAACAGGCTATGCTTTTTAAGTACAGACATTCCTCACTTAATGACCGAGTTCCATTTCTATGACTAGGGCGTTAAGCGAATTGGTCACTAAGTGAGGAATAGAGGAAATCAGCTCTAATATAGAGTACATGACTTAGGTTTGCATACTGCAAATACAAATGCACAGTACATTAGTGAATACTGACTGACTGACCAACTGCGGGAACGTGACATAGACTGAGGAAGGGTGATGTGAAATGAGCTTGACCCAAGTTCAATACCAACTGGTCGGAGAGCTGGTTGTAAGTCCGAGTGGTCATTAAACAGTTAGGTTGTTGAGTGAGGAGTAGCTGTATCTAGTTTAAATGTTCCAATGCAGTCTTTCAAAACTTTAAATTTTTCATTGGCCAAATAAAGGAATTAGGGACATATGGTATTTTGGGCAACTTATACGCCCATCTAAATGGTTCCACAGCATGACCACCAAACAGCTTTCTATCAGTTTTACTTGTACATGTGTTTTTTACTAGTGCACTCAAAGATACCTTAATTACTTGTGTTTTTTGCACATCATTACAATCAACAGCAGATGGGTGTTATGTACACTATATTACCAAAAGTATTGGGACGCCTGCCTTTACACGCACATGAACTTTAATGGCATCCCAGTCTTAGTCCGTAGGGTTCAATATTGAGTTGGCCCACTCTTTGCCGCTATAACAGATTCAACTCTTCTGGGAAGTCTGTCCACAAGGTTTAGGAGTGTGTCTATGGGAATGTTTGACCATTCTTCCAGAAGTGCATTTGTGAGGTCAGGTACTGATGTTGGACGAGAAGGCCTGGCTCGCAGTCTCCGCTCTAATTCACCCCAGAGGTGTTCTATTGAGTTGAGGTCAGGACTCTGTGCAGGCCAGTTAAGTTCCTCCACCCCGAACTCACTCACCCATGTCTTTATGGACCTTGCTTTGTGCACTGGTGGCAGTCATGTTGGAACAGGTAGGGGCCATTCCCAAACAGTTCCCTTCACTGGAACTAAGGGGCCAAGCCCAACCCCTGAAAAACAACCCCCCCATAATCCCCCCTCCACCAAACTTTACACTTGGCACAATGCAGTCAGGCAAGTACCGTTCTCCTGGCAACCACCAAACCCAGACACGTCCATCGGATTGACAGAGAAGCATGATGCATCCCTCCAGAGAACACGTCTCCACTTCTCTAGAGTCCAGTGGCGGCGTGCTTTACACCACTGCATCCGGCGCTTTGCATTGCACTTGGTGATGTAAGACTTGGGTGCAGCTGTTTGGCCATGCAAAACCCATTCCATGAAGCTCTCTACGCACTGTTGTTGTGCAAATTTGAAGGCCACATGAAGTTTGGAGGTCTGTAGCTATTGACTCTGCAGACAGTTGTCGACTTCTGTGCACTGTGCGCTTCACCATGTGCTGACCTTGATTTGTCATTTTACGTGGCTTACCAAATCGTGGCTGAGTTGCTGGTGTTCCCAGTTGCTTCCATTTTGTTATAATACCACTAACAGTTGACCGTGGAATATTTAGTAGCAAGGACATTTCACGGAACACCTGAATCCAATGATTTGGAGGGGTGTCTCAATACTCTTGGCAATATAGTGTATGTATCTAGGTGTCTTTTTCTGATATGGAAAATGTAACAATTGATTCTATTGAAGACAGCTCTGTTTTTTGTGGCTCTGAAGGCGTGATGGATCGTTGCTGATGTTCTAATGTAACAAAAAAAAAATTATTTTACAATTTCTTTCCTCATTTTTCCACATTCAGATTGCTTCATATTTGTCATTGACACAATGTTTGTGAAGACATAAACATCTCATTCCTGATTAAATTGACAGTGTAAT